CTGGGAAAAAAAGTAAAAAGAGCTCCAGTTACAAAACAAGCTAAGGGTTACGATCGCACGTTTTATCATACAAATTACCTTTTTTGTAAGAAAAGCAAAAATCTTTTTTAAACATTTGCCATATTTTCTCTTTTTCTACATCATGTTAGCTTTATTCTAACTATTGGATTCTGTTCTGTCATGGTTCTGCTTGACTTGAGTGCAGCTTTTAACATGTGGATCACAACACCTTCTTGTTCTAAATGTTAATAATAAATGATCTGGTTGGCATCCATTCCTGTATTAGACTGGCTCTCCTTTTATCTTTCAAACTAAACTTTCTCTGTGAGGACAGAAACCATTTCCTCAGACACTGCTCCACTTACTTGTGGGGTCCTACAAGGCTCAATTCTGGGACTTTATTTTTTTTCTTTCTATATCCTTCTATTAACCTCCATCATTCAGTCTTTCCCAGACATCTCATACCACTTCTACACTGATGGCACTTAGGTTGGTTTATGCTCGACGCGTCCTCGAGGTCCGCACGGCTCCGCGCGGCGAAATTGCGTCATTTTAACAACCACGCCCCTCAACCGCTCCTCCACACGGCCCAAAATTTCCGCAACGCGCACCTAGGAAATTTTCTAACCACGTGGACGGTCGGACGTGGAAAAACATGGCGGACTGGCAAGAACTAGTATGGCAGAGGTTCGTAAATACAGACATTTGTATGATTCAGCTCTCAAAGATCACCGTGATCAACATGTTGTTAATAATTCTTGGAGAGAAATAGCTCGCACTGTCGGAAAAGACGAGGACACTTAAAAATGCTGGAATGCCATGTTGTAAACAACAGTAATGTTTACTTCTACTATGGTGTAGTGTTGGATGCATGCCGTAGAGCTCCATGCTGCCCCCTACAGTTTGGGAGAATATTGTCTCACCACAGAGACGAGCCGCATGAACCATAAACGCTGCGAGTTGTGAAGCACGTTCCATCCGCGAGCCGCATCACCAAGCGGAAAGTGAATGAGTCAAGCATAAACCAGGCGTTGGCTGTAGGTCCTTCAACCCCCACCATTTGGACAAGCTGGCCATTCTTTTTCTGTGTCTTACGCAGATCAGAAACCGGCTGTCCAGCAACTTCTAGAAGTTTTCTTTGATTCCATTTTAGGCTTTGATTCACACATCAAATCCATCTCCCGTTCCAGTTTATTTTACTTAAAAAACATCTCAAAATTCCAGAAAATTGTTTCCATTGCTGACTTGGAAAACACCAAAATAAAACAAAAGAAGACTCCATGCCTTTGTCTCATCACATTTGGACTGTTTTTACCGATCTGGATCAGTGGTGCAAAAAGAGTGTGTGCAGGGTATGCGACGCACAGGGGTGCCAGGCTGGACGGGGCACCAAAGTGATGAGGCAAAAAATATTTTAGTCTGCATTTCCTGTGTTTTGGTCCGTTTGTGTATCTGCAAATTATATAATTGATAACAGAGAAGCACGTCAGTGATTAGGCGCCTCTCCCCTTCTCAAGTTCAGTCACTGAACTTTGTGTGCTTTTTGGAATAGACGGTTGTAGCGCAGCAACACAACCCTCTGCTGAGACTTCAGCTGTCTGTCTAACTGTTGAATTTTCATCCAAAGGCTAGATGTTCAAGGAAATATGGCGGCTGGTAAAAGCCAGCAAGACAAAGCTTCACTGAGATGTCAGAGGCTTTTGCCCCGAGAGTCTCCCATGTAAGTAATAATTGTTTTCCACCAGCACTGCTTATTGGTGTCAGACATTCAGCCATTCTAAAAAAGGTCTATCATTAACCTTGGATGGCCTTATTAGGTTACTGCCTGCAGCCAGTCATTTACTACGTTTGCAGCCATAGATGAACAGAAATGAACACTTGTAGTCTTTTCTTCCAAAAATGGGGCAGCGCAACCGTTTCAACAGCTTTCGGTGATCAAAGCTGTGCATGGATGTCACAAATAGGATCGTTTTCCTGAGCAACTAGTCTACTCTGAACTAAATCAACTAACTATCAGAGAAAGTATATAAAGAACTGCAGTCTTACTAATAAACTAAGATAAAAAGAATTCCAAGTTATGGTAAACTCATCAACTTTGTCTAAATCCCATCTAATCTAAGTCAGAGGGATGCCTCTGAGGAAGCGGTAAACGCTCCAAAAATATTTTCTGCTCTCGCTCCGATTTCTGTCTCAGTGATTAGAGCTGATGTTTATTTAAAAAGTGTGTCTCTCTGCATATGGAAACGGGCTCCACTATGCCCTTTAGGAAGAGATATTACTTAATTTAAATGTTTCACGGGTTTTAAATACTTTAGATTATTAATTGATCTTTGAGGCCTTAGAACCAACGGAAGCCTTTAGCTTGCACAGTGCTGCAAATGCAAATTGGGCCCCTCTAAATAATTACATTGTCATGGTACGTTTTCCACAAATTACATTAAGTGAATAGATTTACCCCTTTCTGAGCACTTTAAAATTAATAAAATGTGGAAAATCTGAGCTGAAATGTCAGCGTAGAGGAGAAGAACGTCCAAATTAAGTCAGCTGCAGGGTGCCTGACTGGCCAGCATCAGTGAGAGCAGTCAGAGATATTATCTGTCTAAAGGGTCATGGACCATAAAAACAAAATTACAAACAGCTGGCAAACTAAAGCTGAAAATATGAGTGGAGGCCAAGTAGATCCAAGTAAAACGACTAAATACGTGGTCCTCCCCTCACGCTCTACAGTGTGTATAAAAGGCTGAGCAGGCCTGGTGATTCTTATCTGGTATCAAGATAAACACAAAGGGATGATGGAGGTTTTGGAGTGGTTGAGTTTGAAGACTGGCTAGTGATTCAGTGGGTACTGCACATCAATGCCTGCCTTAAGACAAAAAAAAACACTATTAATCTACAACTAAAAAGCACATTTGATAACACTGATGCTAAGATTAAAGAGTGTTGAGCTCACGGATTATACTTCAGACTTTTTTGGGTTTTAAGCAGCAGAGGTCAGGAAAGTTAGCACAGGGGTAACTGGCTTGTGGCGGCCAAGCGTTCATAGCGACGTCACTTTTTGATCCTTCCATGTCAGCTCTTCCTATCAGCAGAATTTAGCAAGCGCTGGATTGTTCACCCACTAATAGGGAACGAGAGCTGGGTTTAGACTGCTGTGAGACAGGTAACTTTTACCTTGTGGACTCAACATTGACATTCTCACCTTCAGGTGTTAATTAGTTTTTTATATTCTCAGGGTATCTGCAGGTTTAAAGGAGCCAAATTTAAGACTTTTTAAGACCTTTTTTAAGGCCACTTTGACCAAATTTAAGCTATTTGTTAAATTAAATTTAAGCTATCATTTCCAGCTATTGCCTGGAACCGGTGCTAACCACGTCGCAAACGTGGGATTAGCCATCCAGTTACCATTAAACTTGCACTTCCCCATGGCGCGAGCTCCCACTAGCTTAACCAGCTAATGTGCTCATCTAAAAACAGCCCCCTTTCACAACCAACTGAATGTGTACGGTTCCGCTTACGGCAACATCGTACACAACAAATACTGGACACTAACTAGAAATTCATGAAAATTTTATAGAAATAAAAAATATTTTGTTTACTGGGTCTTTGGTAATTTAAGACCTTTGGAAACTGTTTTTAAGGATTATTTGTCATTTTTAAGGATTTTTAAGGCCTTAAATTTGGAAAAGCAAATTTAAGACTTTTTAAGACTTTTTAAGGACCCGCGGACACCCTGTATTCTGTAGCGCTATGTGTTAGGAGTAAGGGCATAGCTAAGAGGGTGACAGTGAAGCTCCAAGCAGCAAATCTCGGATTGTGCTTAAACATTATTACCAGCCCTGCTGCTTAACACGCTTGAAGCCAATTCTGAAACGATCACTGCAGCTCCATGCAGTGAAGGCAATTTCCACATCCCAGGAACTACCCCGGAGTTCCGGAAACGCAACAGAGCTGAAGCCCAGAAGCAGAACCAGAGCCGGCGGCCGACATCACCAGACCGGCGGGGCTCTCCGGCGGCTGACCTCACCAGGCCCGGCAGTTGACATCACCAGACCCGGTATGGCCGACACCCCGGCACCACCAGGCCCGGTGTGGCTCTCCGGCGAGGCCGACGGCACTAGACCCGGCGTGGTTCCTCCGGGGCGGCTGACAGCGGCGAGCCCTGCCATCGAGCCCGACTTGGTGACGCGGAGCTCGGCCTGTTACGCTGGGGTCGCGGGACCGGAGGACGGCAAAAGAGGAGAAATCTGAGTAAGAAAAATGCCAGGAGGATGATCGGCTGGACGGGGCAAAGACATGGCTGCAGACGACCTGGGGGAGATCAAACAATCTCTGAACTACATGTCAGGTGAGCTGTCAAAAGTTACATTGCTGCAGGATCGCTTGCTAAGACTGATGGAAGAGGTGAGAGAACTCAAAGTACTGTTAACCAAGAAAGAGAAAAAGATATCGGCTTTAGAGCAAAGAGTGGATGAACTTGAACAATATACAAGAAGAGAAGACTTGGTAATAATGGGACTTGAACATCTGGCATAAGGTTGATCAGCACCGGTACACCAATGACTGCACCTCTAAGGACACAGCTGTAAAAATCCTGAAATTTGCAGATGACACCACTGTCATTGGGCTCATCCAGGATGGTGATGAGTCTGCTTATCAGCGAGAAGTTGAGAGGCTGGTGGTCTGGTGTAGCCAGCACAATCTTGAGCTTAACACCCTTAAAGCTGTGGAGATGGTCGTGGATTTTAGGAATCTTCCCACAGTGCTGCCCCCCCTCACAATATCCAACAGCCCAGTGTCAATGGTGGACTCATTCAAGTTCTTGGGAACTATCATTTCCAGGGATCTGAAGTGGGAGACAAACATCAACTCCATCCTCAAAAAGGCTCAGCAGAGGATGTATTTCTTACGGCAACTAAGGAAGTACGGCCTACCACAAGAGCTGCTGATCATCTTCTACACTGCTGCAGTCGAATCCATACTTTGCTCATCCATCACTGTCT